GGAGCGTTGCTACCTTGAGACTACTGGAACAAATGCTGTTCTACGAACGACCATAGGTGAATTGGCTGGAGCAGCGCGGAATTCTCTGGAAATAGTCCATTAATGCCTACTACCTCAACAGAAAAGTCAAATACGCTTACCTGTTTGTCACTCTCACTGGTGTTGCATATAACGGCTCTTCGGCCTGCTCGAACATACTTTTTGGACGAGTTTTTTTGTCAACGCGTGGACTCCGAGACGGAATGCATTGGCGGCGATCCTGTGGTGGACTACGATCGACGAAAATCCGACTAGCACGGAAGAGTACGTCTACATTCTGCAGGAAAAAATTATTGGTAATGCAAGGACGAGAAAAAGTCATCGTAGCATTTCGCACAAAAAGAATTTTCACCATAGTAAACCTAACTTAGTCTCAAAATTTCAGTTAGCTTAAACTTCGCTTAGAAAGGTAATTTGGCATGCTGATCACAAAAATCATATTCATTCCGCACACTAGGGCCTTCCTATTGGAGTACAGTAGCTACACGGCAAGGGGTCAAAAATACGAGTTTGACCATATACTGTTTACCCATAGCAATCCTAAAGTAAGACCTTTTTACTGCGCGGATGTCGTATTCGTGCTTATCAAATTACCCCAATTTGTCAGTTCCCAGGATTCTGTGAACCTGGCCCTCTACCGTCTACCTACCGTAATCCTGAGAAGGCCTTAGTGTGCGGTATGAACCTTTTCGCAATGAGCATGCCAAACTGTCCCCTAAAAGAAGTTCTAGCGATATCCGAAATTTGGAATTTCTGGGGCATGTAGGTGAGATAATGCCGTAGAATTAAAGCTTTGTAAAGTTGTGTGTTTGATGTAATGGATGAGTATGACATTTTTACAGTCTTGGGTTATCCTTCATCCAACTTAATTGTTCAAAGTATAAAATTAAATGTTGTAAAATTAAAAATCGACTACGTTGGAAGTCCGCTAAAATATTTGTACTCTAACCTCAACTTTTGTAATTTTAGTGATATCAGGTCTTTGAGCTGTCCGTAAAAGACGTGTTGATTGTGGTGATACATTCACCGCCAATCGAATTGGTGCCAATGGTGAGCGTGGTGGCTGCAATCACACATTTCTCTTAGTACAGTAAACTTTACTTCCTCTGAGCATCTGTACCTGTCCTGCCACGCCCATTTTGCGATGCACTGGCGGTGGAGTGATCTGCATGAAAGATACGGTATCGATCATCGAGTCACGATTAGGACTGAAAATTTTAGTTTAAATATTGAAAAAATTTCGAATAAATGATTTTCGAATATTAGTACATAATGAAAAGATTCGAAAGAATGAACAGTATTTGGTTTACCACTTTGAAATAAATTCGAATCGAAATCGCAGAATAATAAGGGCTCTAAATGTCCGACCAAATACCGAATAATCGGGCATGAGTGAACATTCGAATCTTCGGACGGTCGAATGGTCGAATAGCGTTTTTTCTCGAATGTTCTACTATTCGAATACCCA